TTTTTAGTAAATCCCAGCATATAGTAGAGAAATGGAGAAGGAATGGCAAGGATTCTTATTCAGAAATAAGACATTTTTAATTTAGTATAGAAAGGATAGCAAACGTGTCTTGAGTCTGTGATTCACAGTTTTCTTTGTTTCAGAAGATTATGGTTCATCCATTTTAATTTAAACAAGATTTGGCCTGTGATGCTTTATCCTGAGCTGAAAATGTGCCCTTTAGTCCAGGTGACAGGGACCACGGGAATGTGTCGTGGTGCTAGTGAATGTTTGAGCTGAGGAATGGGAGTCTAAAGCTCTTGGTTAAGCCTTTGCTTTGAAGTTGCTAGAATTTGAAAATGCCTCTGTGCTTGAGGCTAGATAATTCTCTCCTTTATTCTGGATACTTTTAGGAGAAAAGAATATAACAAGCGGGGAACTGACACAGGGTAATCTTGCTCTCTAAACTGGAGTAGGAACTGAATGGTTGGAAATGGTAGATGAAAAAGCTTAACTTTCTCTGACCCCAAATATTTACACTGAGGGTTATCATCTAAAGGCCACTAGATGAATGATTAAGTAACCAGATATTGGTTTGTTTTGATGAGATCATCACAGATTTAAAGCAAATATAATTCAAAGGGCCACATACGTAGTTTGAGCAACATATTAGAGAGGGACAGGCCTCTTTTCTTTTTTCCTCTTCTGTTTAGTTTCTTTTTTTTGAGAACAGAGCTATTTATACTGTGTCAGTGTGTTATAATGTATCACTGTTGGTTGCAATATATTTTTAGGAAGGATTTTTTTTATACTATTTGGCAGTTTCACCCACCATTTCATGTAGGTTGTTTGCTGGTGATTTAAACTGATGTTTCAGGAGTAGCTGCCTGAGGCCTTTAGGAACCTCAGTGGGGTGGTGGACTAAAACAGCAGCAGTGCCCATACTGGACACCTTATAAATTCCAGGGATTGGGATGTCTTTCACCTTCCAGTCTAAAAACCCCTTCCGTGCTGTCTCCGTGCCCTCTCCGTGCCCTGCTGTAAATGTTTACACTGCAGCCACAGATGATGAGTTTTACAGCAGGGGTTGTCCATTCCCTGCAGCAATTTGAACCTTGATGTTCACCACGAGTCCTGAGCCTGAATTTGAAACCTGCAAAGGGTGTAATGGCACTCATGTTTCTGGTGACACTTCCTCAGGGCTTTAGATTGATGTGGTGAGGGCTTATGTTTATTCAGATGGCCAAGTAATTAGTGACAAGCCAATTTAATTGTTTGTACTGTGATACTTTGTTGGTTAGTGAAATGCCAACTTAAATTATCAGGAATGTGGTGTTGTATGCCTTAGTTTTTTATGGACTGTGTTGCTGTTTCTGTTTCTTTGGCAAAAATCGGCTGTAGTAAGGCTATTAGATATTTATTATCCTGCTGTTTTTAAAGATCACATATTTCTATTGTAAAATCCAACAAACTGAGGGATTTTGAACTGCAACAGGAAAAAAGGTATTGGTGACTTGAGGCCGAGTAGAGCAGGACTTTGCTGTGATGATTTTGCTTCTATAGGAAACTGATGCAAAACATCTTGTTTGGGAGGAAGAAGTAACAAAAGTGAATGTATATGAAAGTGCATGTAAAAATTTTATTGTGAACTCATGCAAGCTCCCTCAGTGTCACTGACAGATTTAGATATAATTTAATTTACACTGAATTTAGATTTTCTTAAGAAATTGGACTTTTGCTTTTTTGATTGTCAGGTTTTGTTAAAGCTCTGATTTAAGAATGGGGAATGAAGCAACCCACTACTAGTAAAGGACTGGTGCAGAAAGTGGTGAGGGGAAAAAGGAAAAGTAACTTCAGTGACCTCTGAAATACTAAGATGTGATAACTAAAGCTAATGCACACATAGAAAGACCTGACTTATGTTAATAATTAATCCTAAAATATGAGAAATCTAGAAATCTTTTACCTAAGACTCTAAAAGGAAAGAGGGTGTGTATAGGTTTATCAATTAAAAAACTAAGCCTGTGGAAGGGGAGATTAATCTAGAATATCTGTCCTAATGAACATATGTAATTTACAATTTAGATTGTAGAGGATGGAAACTGTTCAACTTGGTACACTCATCCATCCCTGGGTAGAACTGGGAAGCTGGGAGGTGGAAAGCAGGGACAGTCAGCTTCTTGTGCTCCCAGAGTCTGGTTTATGTAACACAGAAGCTACTTTTATTGAAGTATTTCTTGATGCTCTGCCAGCAGTGTTGCTTTGAATCATGCTAACGTTAGGTTAGCAATTCCACAGGACACATTAATCCTAAAGCTGTGTGACAGTAAGGCAGTTGTTGTTTTTATGCTAAAATATTAAATACATTCAACTTGCTACTATTTAGCAATTGGAATGTCACATCTTTTTCAGATGTGGCAGTCTGATCTTGTCAAACCACAGGTATGATTTTTATTTCAGTTACCTTTCAGAAAGCAAATGATGGCTTATTAGTGGTAGAGCTGAAATGATAGTTTATACAGAAAGAAATGCCAAATCAAAGCTATAAGGTGGAGTTGTTAAACTATTACTTCCTGATAAATGATGGAATGATTATTTTGAACTTACTTTAAAATTAAATTTCGAGTTAATTAACCAAGACTTTTACATCTCTTAAATTGTCCCCCTGCTTAGATGTTCCTTGTCTTGTGTGGGAAAATGGATGGTTTTCATAAGTACAGTAAAGTACACTTAACCCTACCACTCTTGTGTAAGTACACTTTACTGTATCTTAGCCTTTTAAACATACCTTTTAATCTCTTCTCCTCTGGAGAGTACTTGGATACACCTAAGAGGCTGAAAATTTTTATTTCAGTGCAGATTGACCAAAGCTTGTCTCTCTCTTGCTTTTTTTTTTTCTTTTGTTTTAAATTCATGCTAATTTTGGAATAATCCGGTTTCCCTGAAATTTTCACATTGCTCTGAATATTGCCAGTAGAAATTAAAGTCTAACCTCTTGAAGCTTTCATTCTGAAATAGTACACTAAACCAATCAATTTATGATCTGGTTAAGTGATCAGGACTGCAGTGTTTGAAAAGAAAGATGTGTTTCCAGACTGCTGCAAGGAGATACTAAATCAAACAGGCGGCTCAGGGACAGACAAGCTGCGGTTTTGAAAGGTAAATGAAATCCGTGCTGTGTGTGTGAGATGCAGGGATTTTACTCGTCCTGTGCTTGCCTGTCTTCTGCCAGGAACTACTCAGACATCTGTAAGTGTTCCCATTGATCCCAGGAGTGCTACTTCTCGTGATGCTGAATCTGGAATGGTTAGAGTTGTGTGACTTGTTCTGTTCTTCCCCCCCTACCTTTTGAATTGTCTTTTGTCTCTTTAGTTTGTTGATCAAACAAGATGATCTTTGTTATGCGTGTTTCTGTCTCAGCAGGGCTAAGGCTGGTGGAAGAAAAGCTTTTCATGACAAGTTTTGACTTCACTCTCTGCCGCAGTGTACTGACTGAAAATTAGTGCCATTAAAATACTTTTGAGGGGAACTCTTATGTATAGTATTTTGTAGAGATTTGGAACGTTCTGGAATAAAAGAAAAGCAGAAATCCAGCCAACTCATAGGACCAAACAAACAAAATCAGTGAGCTCTCCCTATTTAGCTCATGGAGTGAGGCAATAACATTCAATTAATAGGTATTTGAAGAGGTGTTTTTCGTCAGTTCAGAGGCAGTATTGCTGTTCCATTTTGAACAAAAGGTTGTACATATCTTTTGAGAATAGCTCTTGAGATTTTTACTAGTCTTGATTTTTGAAATGTTGATTACTAAAACTGGTGGTGAAACGTGGCATGCTAACACGTCAAAGAAACTAGGAAATGTTAAACAAAGGAGAAAATTTGCAGCTGACAGCTGAAGCATTTGAAGATCTGTTCCCTAATCCTGAAGTTTTAACATAAACATTCTGGTTATTATTTTTCTGCTGTCGTAAAAAATGGAAGTCAGTCTTATTTCATGAAAGATCCCCCCTAACAGAGGGATTTGGATGCTTAAAAGTGTTAAATATTATTTTTTCCCTCATGAGTTCCTAAAAATGTTTCTTTCAGTAGAGTTGAAGTAAAAATAAGCAGCTGTGAATCTTGTTCTCTCCTTTGCCTGTCTCCATGGTAGTGAAGTGTTTTAAATTGGTATGTCCATCTCAGTCTTGGTAGCAGTGCCATCCTTTTTAAATGTGAGCTGGTTTTTACCCTCAGCACTGAGATTGAGTGTACAGACATGTATTGTAGCTTTTACTCTACCATGGAGTAGTTGGAGCACTCTGCAGTGTGTTAGAAAAAGAAATGTCTGGTGTGATTAAGACACATTTCTGGTTTGATTAATTTGTGCATATAAAGAAAAAGCTCAATCTGTAGTTTTCTGGTTGTCTTTTTTAAGATGTAGGAAAGAGAAAAAAATTTATCTTGGAAGAGCAGAATTTGTTTCATGGCAGTATGAACTGTGCTTCAAAAGCAACATATATCTTGTGTCAGTATATGAGCTTACACATAGAGCAGATACTGTGGTAGCCTTATTTTGGGAAGTATTAGGAGGCTTTCAGAGACAGGCATCTTGTGTGGGATCCTCAAGAGTTGGGTCTGGCACTGCTGAAGGGAAGGGCAGTGGTGTTGTTGTAAATGCTGGTCTTTAGCACAGCAAGGACCTTATCATGATTGAGGGTTAAGGGAACTGCTGTAGAAAATGATTGGTTATACAGTAATCTGCTTTTTGAGAGACCTTTTATAATACCAATAACAACAGGCTACAATTTGACTTGTTTGTTAGGCACTGAACTCTTGGTGCTGCTCATACTGCTTAAATCCTTTTTATGTGGGTAAAGTGAGACCTTTTAATTTTTTTCAAGATTTTTAGTCTTTTCTAGCTCTGCTGTACAACAGTTCTTCTGGTTAGCAGTGATTTGTGACATACAGAACTGGGTAGGAAAGATTTAGAAAATGGAGTCTAAAATCATATCATTAATTTAAATTTGTTTCTAACATTTCAGATTTTTCTTCTCGCCTGTCCCCCATGTCGGACTGCAATGATTCTCTTCAGGTAATACCTCTTCCTTACTACATTTCTGTCTACTTTCATAATGTATTTTACAAGTTAATCACTGCTTAAGTCATAAAATACTAAGTTTTATGTCCAGTTGGAAATGCATATTGGTTGGATTGAAAAATGATACATTGAAGGGAGTCAAAGCTTAAAGGGTGAGTGTTGGGCCACATACTCTTGGTGCTTCTCTGTGGTGGGTTTGGCCTCACTTTTGAACATGAATTAACTCAGTAACAGAGGAGTTAATGCAGATTAATGTATGAGCTGCTGTAATTTGTGTCATGGGCCTTGTACCTTTTTATTATCCTCAGTAAAAATTAGTAACTGGGCCTCATTGAAGGCCGTGCATACAGTATGGGTCTAATTTTAAAATTGTGGATAGGTAAGGTTAAATAGTTAATGCAAATTCTTGCTGTCCTGGGTATTTCTCCAATCCATGCGATCTTTCTTAAAATGCTGCATGTTACCTTAGGAACCACAAGAGTTTCTAATGTGCAGGAGGCTCTAATGGGCTACAGCAGCAGAGTCCAGTGAGCAGCTAAAGGACTGAATTAGTTGTGTTGTGGGAAGGGTCAGGGGACTTCCCAGGCAGAATGGTAGTGAGAATGGCTGTAATTGCCACCCTGACATTAAATTCCACTCTTTCTTATCTAATTCTGGACATTTACTTGAAAAATGATGGGGGAATGCCTCCTACCTTCTCTCTGCAACTTTTCGCCGTTGTTCCTTATTTTTTGTGCTGGGATTATAGGGATCCTGTGTCAGCATCTCCATCTTGGAGAGTGTGAAGAGTATGTCTGGTGTCCAGGAAATCTTTGCTAAAGGTTATAGGGCAGAGGCTACAATATTTGTTGGTTTTTTGTTTGGGTTTTTTTTTTTTTTTTCAGATTGAGTATTTCTATTTTGACACCCTGACAGCATATAGATTATGTTTGAAAGACTGTTTTAAAATTATAATACCTTCTCCCCCCCCATCAAATTCCTTTTAAATTCCTAACAGTTTGACAGACAGTGGTTCAGTGGTTGGTGGCAGTTTATGCTTTACTTAGTATCCAAACTGTTTCAGTCTCCTTTATACAAGATACAATTTTTCTGTTCCTGTGATGCAACAATGGTTCAGGAAAAGATGGTTGAAAACTGCATAAAATGCAGTATTATAACACTACTTTCCTGCCTCATGCTTTGCTTAGGACTTGCTGTTGCATTTTGATAAATGCAGTCCTTTCATTTAAGGGACTTCTTTCAAATTCCTGAAGCTTTTCTTTGAAGCTATGCGTTCGTAGGGTTAAGCAGGATAAAAACTGTTATCAAATATGCTATTTTAAGCTCTGGAAGACAAGTGAACAGCAGAATTCCAGCTATCTAGCAGCTTGCATCATGAATAGGATTATGGACAGTCCAGGCTTTCTAGGAATCCAAAGCTTATTATAGAAAGCAGTCCTACTTAAGGAAATTCTACAAATGTGTATTTAAATATATGTTTTTGTCCTGGTTATTGCATTTACCAGTATCTCATTAATTGCATTTAACAGTGACTTTATTCAAATTCAAGCCAAAAGAGTTTTAAGTGTCTTGCTACCTTTTATTGAAGAGATGCTGCATAAATTAAATGAAAGCACTGCACTGGATTTCCATCTGTGAAAAGAGTCTCCCATCTTTTTTCTAAGGTTGCAGATGCATATGCTGAATGGGGCCCTGTTGGCATTGCTGTTTCCTGTTGTTAATACACGCCTGGTGAGTGTACTGTAGTTTTCTTCCTCCTTTTTAATTTATTTCTAGAAGATTTTCTTTGGAAAGATGTCAGAGCTTTGCTTTGTTTGGCCTTTTAAAGTTTATTTTACCAGGCTGCAGATTCCCGGTACAGGTCATTACAGCAGAGCCAAAATACCAGTCTTGGATTTTTGGGGTGTCTGTACCTCAGTGTGAAAAGCCAACACTGCTGTATTCTGAGCACCAGTTCCATCCTGGCCTTAAAGGAGAGGAAACTTAATGGCTTTGAAAGAGGCTTTCACAGGTTAATCTGGTGGCATGTGGTCAAAATTCAGTTTCAGGCTTTTCAGACTCTGTGTAAATGTAAGATTCCTCTGGCCTGGAAAATGCCAAATGTTGTTCTTGGCTGTCAACCCCTCTCTCCCAAGATTAGGCACAGCGGGTTTCTTTTTTCCCATCTAAGTTTTCAAATCTGCTATAAAACTCCAACCTCCTGGACAAAAAGTTAACCTATTGTTGTGCCTGTAAGATTCTTAAACCTAGTGGCCATATGGCCCATGAATTAATATTATTAACAAAATTGTGGTGGACTTCAGACTCCATTGCAAATCTTGTTATTGGCTCTCCCTTTGCAGATATTAACTGTGTAAATAAGATTAGGTATAAACTTTTGCTTATGTGCAGTTTGCAATTGTTTTATTAAAACTTGATACTGCTGAAGGGCATCAAATGAATAAAACAAGTGGGATTTTTTCCCAATAAGGATAAATCTTTTTATTTTGTATTTAAAGCTATCTAGTTTTCAAGTAAATATAACCTTAAGCATGACAAAATTATTTCCCTAGGTAACCTTTGAAGGATAAAATGTTGCAGTATTTAATAACTCATTAGTTTTTGTTTTCTCTACCATGATCATAGATGTCACTCATATTAGGGCAGTGGTGATTAAACAAGAAAGATGCAGACTATTCACAAAATTGTCTCCATAATTAGGATTGGAGGAGCCAAAGGACAATGTCCAAGAGCAAATATTTTTGGAGTAAATACAACTTAGGATATTTTTGGCCTAACAGCTTTTCTCTTTTCAATGTTTCTTCTGGCACAAGATAATGTGGGTGATGTTGCAGAGTGCTGCTGCTTTGACCCAGATTCTCTTGTGGCAGACAGACATTCAGCTCCACAACTATCATTGTAGTTGTTTATGCTGACGTTATCCTGAAAGCAGGAAATGTCTCCTAAAACTTAGTAGGAATTTCACAAGAATCTCAATAATTTTGTCTGAACTCTCTGCTCTGGTTTATAGTATCTAAGTGAAAAACTTTTGGTTGTCGAGAATTGTTGTGTCTCTATGCAGCAACTCCAAATTTCAGTTTTATGATATTTTATGTCATATTTTTGTGTGTTTCATACAAAAATGTTATATACTTAGATATGTCTGTAAATAGTTGTAACATATAGTGTGTGGCACAAAGAGCATGAAAAATTGGTCACCTAACCCAGCGTGGGGAGGGAGGTGGTCTGGGGCAGAGAGAGTTCTGAGGTCAGTGGAGCTGGAGAGCAGGAGATTGGTGCCTCCCATTGCTTTGAGGGGTTGTGCCAAACGGATGCATGGCTCTGAGTGCCAAAATGCCTCCCTGGTGCCTTTCAGAGTGTAAAATGTGTTCTGTCTTTGTGAATTATTTGATATACAGTTGGATGTTTTCTTGTGATAGGTTTTTCGTTGTCCTCAGCTGACATTGTCCTAAAGCTCCCTCTTCCGTGTGATTGTTTGGAATCTTGCAGGCAGCAGGTAATGGTGCTGATCTGTAGTCTCTGTTTGGAGACACCTGCTAATTTAGCAAGTTCAGCAGGAGGCATGTGCATAATAGCTGGCAAGTTGTGTATCATTAGGGAGATGAAAGCAGTGAGATGCAAGAAAAGATATTAGATGTGCAGTTTTATTTGTACTTACCAATAATCTGAAAGGGGTAAAAGGCAGGAGATAGAGAATGGAAGAGGATCATTGCCTGACCAGCTGATGGATGATTTAGTGGATATCAGGGTTTTGCTTCCAAGTGTTAACCTGTTCAATGTAATTTCCAGAACACCTCTTACAGCATTTTGTGGCACAGACTGTTGGGTCACATATTTTTGCTACCAATTACATTACTGAATGCATTGTAAGTATTCTTTTTGTATAACTACTTCAACGTTAAATTATCCTGAAAAATAAATTGGTTGAAGCTTCTGGCATAATTGTTTCCATTTTCTTGTCATGCATCTGTTAATTTTTTTTTTTTTTAGAACCTCAGTCATTTCAAAATTATTCTTAGATACTAGTCTATTGGCAGTGGAAATGGAGAGTTGAGATATTCACTGCACCTACAGAAGAAAGTTTCTACCTTTTGTTGTTTTAATCTTTTAGTTAAACTGTACTTGTCAAAAATCTCGTTGGACTATAATGGGCACCTGGGATAGTGTTCCAAACAAATGTAGCCTGAAAGATGAGGTCAGTCTATTCTGTTCTTTCCAAGAAAATATTTTCCTGCCTTGGCATGATGTTGAGGTGTCAGCAATTAACAGATGCAACAAATGTATCCACTTGTATTTATTTGGCACCTAAATGCTCCAGTTATTTTCTACATTATTTATGATGTGTTGATGGAAATAATTTTGTGCATTGGAATAGACATTGGATAGAGATAAAACTGTTTCTTATTCAGTTAGCTTATTCAGTTCTTATTCAGAACTCACAGTATTATTTTGTGAGTTCTCATCCTTTCAGAAATAAAGGGCATTTTAATTTTCCCTCATAATTTCATCCCTTTCTCATGATGTGAATAATTCTTGGTCAGCATTAACTATTCACGCTAATCATAGGGTAATCTTTTGTGACCTATAAGTAAATAGAGAAGAAGATGCTAAGGGAATTGGCTTGTTAGGTTCCCAAGTAGGACCCTAGAAAGGTGTAAGAGGATGTACAGGAGTAGGAAGATTTCTTTCTACTCTGTATTTATATTACATGAAATACAGTGTAGGTCCTGATAACCAGGCTATGCGGGTAAATTCATTTAACTGGCACAAACTCTCCAAGTGTTTGGAGAGTAACTGGATTTGTTTGAGCTTTCATATTGCATTAATCAAATTTTAAAGGAAACTCTTTCTACTGGTTTAAAAGTGGGTTGTTTTTGGTTTTGCGCTGGTTTTTTTTTGGTTTTGGTTTTGTTTTTTTTTTTTCAAACTGATGTCCTGAAAATGTTGATATAGATAAAGTAAAAAACAGGACATGTCCCAAAGGTGTTGAACTTGTTTTCTCTGCTCACACGGCTGAAATGGTGCAGTTTTAATGTTTCCAGAAGCTGCTATTTTCTATTATTAGAACTGTTTGGCCAGAGAGGTACACATTCAAAATCTGTGTTAGGAGCAGAATCATACTCTGAGTAGGACTTTGAGTATATTCCATGCACACTCCAATCATTGCCTGCTGATTGTTGAAGTAATAATTCAGTTTTCCTGAAGTGCCTGTGCCTGCACAGCAAAGTGAAACAGGTCATGGTAGCTCATTAAGTCATCTCTAAGCTGGCTTTATCTGACTGGCACAAGGAAGAGCAACGGGAACAGTTGGGGGCTATTGAGAGATTGTGCTTGGGTTGCTGGTAGGTGATAAAGCCAAGGCTGGTGCATCTCTGGGCAGTTGTACATGCTGTGTGCATTAAATGGGTATGAGTGTGTTACTGATGGTAATGTCTAAGAGGGTGGCTGGTACAGTGCAACATTTGATGTTTGCTGGGCTGTGTGCTGGATGTGCTACAGGAACGACCAGAACCTGGGAGTTGAATTCTTTCTATTCCTTTTCTGCCACATTCTGCAGTGTTTGTACAGAATGATGGAGGAACTGCTCTTGCACGGTATGGGGCTTGAGCCAAGATACAAATAATTAACAGAGGGAAGAGTACTACTTTGAGAAAACAGCAAAGTGTTAACCTGCTTGCCCACTGAAAACCAGCTGCTGGGTGATGCCTTGTGCCTTGTCTTCACTTACAGTTTCTCTTTGCATGCAGAAGGTGCCTCTCTGCTATCTGTGAGTGAATCTTTTATTGGTGAAACAGTTTATAGACAAGGCATTTAGGTCTAGGTGAGCCAGTTGCTCAGTACAACTTTATATTTCTTCTGGTATGTTTTTTTCATTTTTTGTTTGTTGTAGCCTGGCTGTGCAACTTGAGTGCTTGGTTGTACAGAAACTCTGCAGCTCTACAGCAGGAAATGCACTTGCATGATCAGCCAGGCTTCAGAACAATCCATCTCTTACAGTGGGGGAAAAAGATGTTTTGTTTTACACACAAAAAAAATATTGTCAACACTTCTGCAGCATAAACAACTGTTCCTCTGTTCTGAGGAGTGTCCTGAGCACAGTGTTTGTGTAGCGGACCTTCACAACTCCAAGTGTGGAAGCCCTTTTGGAACCACAGATAAACAGAGAATGCTCCTTGGCAGGAGTGCCTGCCTCATGTTATGATGTTTATATTCAGGAGCAATTGTTTCTGAAGTGGGAGAGGTGCAGCTTTTTCTTCAGTTAGGAAAACTGCTTTAACCCCTTCCCAAATTTTAATTCCCTCACTTTCCTCTCTGTACCCTTTGATGAGGGACAGCAGGAAAGGTTCAGGTTCTGGAAACCTCACAACTTCCATGAAGTTCTTGTTTTTGCATACCATTACCTTTATTTTCTGATACAGAATATTTGGAATAAAATAACCCAACAGATTGTATGGAAAGATTTGTTAGCTTAGTCTCCCCGGAGCTGGCTGAACACCTTGGATGTTGCCATCAGGGCACAGGCATTCAGCTGGGGGATGCCAGGACTGGCAGAATCCAGCTGTTGGTTTTAGCATCTTTTACACTAAAAATAGGATATAAGAATTGTAGCTGAATTTAAAAGATCACTATGTTAATTACCAGCTGTTCATTGACTGCTATTTAGGGAGAAAACCAGACTATGTTTCAACCTCTCTTCTGTTAATGTAGGAATTTCTGTAATGTATCTGTTTCAATGCTTCAGCGTCTCAGAACAGCAATAGAAAAGGAAAGCTTTTCTCCCCCTCTCTCCTTCCAACAGACAAGCCAAGGTGATGGGTCCCATGTCTGAATTCACTTCAGCCTGTAGAATGACAGAACAATTGAACCAAAGCTAATGGCTTTGCATTATTCCTGTGAGATCTCATACCTGTGGTCTTGTTCAGTTTTACCTTCAGAAAAATAACTGAAGGTAAATAACACTGCTCCACAGTCAGCTGCAGCAAGAAGCTGAATTCTGGGTTTTGAGTGTTTTCTACTACTGTTCAGTTTTAAATGTGTTGCTTTAGTGTGATAAACAGATATAGGCAAAGGTACTTAGAGGTGAGAATAACTTCCAAATACAGTGCATCACCTTTACTAACTGATAAAGAGCTAGAATTGGTTGGGCCTGGTTTAAGGGGCTCAAACTCAGAGTTATGGTTCAAGTTATTTTTAGCAGAGTATTATCTTAGCACAGCCTGACTTCTCTACCAGGAAGTTACACTAATTCAACTAAACAAACAAATGACTAACTGTAACTTCCCAAAGTTGTCAGCAGGTGAGAAATACATGATTTACTACTAACTGGTAACTTGTTTACCCACATCCTTCTGCAGCTTCTCTTTAAAACCAATAAAATACTGGTTATTTTTTATTTGGTCAAGCTTAGCAGTTCCACACATGCATGCAGATTGCTATAAATCAGGTCTTTTTTGAGGGTTCTTTCTTTTGCAGAGGCCTCCTCAGTAATTAATATATAAAAGTATATAAATACATATATATAAGACCTCATTTATAGAGTTCTGTCGCTCACAAGGTAGCAAGTATCTGTTCTTTCTGGAAAGACTTCTGTTGTATGGGGTGTGCAGAGTTTCTGGTTTGAATACTGGAGGGGTTTGCATTGTTAATGGTAATTTCTGCAAGCAAAGAAAGGAAAAAGAACAATCTTATGCTATTCCTTCTGTGTTGTTCTTCTGGCTAACTTTGGGAATTGTCTACTGGAAGTGCTGCCTTCCATTTCTGGTAAGGGGAGTGGAATGGGTACAGTTTCAAGGTACTTTCAAGGCACTGGCCATTAATGTCAGCTCTTTGTCAATGTGCACAGATGATGAAATAACTGAGCTCAATGCATTGTCACGAGTCCTAAGGAGCATGGTTCCTTGTAACTTGGTTGTTAGTGATGAAAAATATTCACAAATATTTTCCTTTTCCCACAGCTCCCATTTGAAATGGAAATTTATTATATCCAGCATGTGATGCTTTATGTTGTGCCCATCTATCTGCTGCAGAAAGGAGGTATGTTGACAATTTACTCCATATGGACTGAACTGGTCCCATGCAATGAAAAAATGTGCTTACTGGACACCACCAATTTCATTCTTACCTTTTTTTTAAACCAAGTTTCTCTGTTGTTACTTAATAGTTTCTAATGTTCTAATGTTGGAGTTGTAATCCAGGTAACACCAGGTAACACCAACTTGTGTCAGGCAATGAAATGGAAATTAAAAAAAATGGTCTATTACCCAAAGGGATATTGGTATAATGTACACTGTCTTTTTGAGTAGCATCTCTGCCACTTTGTAACATACTCAAGTTGTTGGGGAGTTGTATTTTTAAGACCTTTGCTTTCTCAGTACTGGAACTTAAAATGAGCTGGAAAAAAAAAATCCTGATTACATCCCACGTAAATATTAGTTGTCTAGTCAGGCAGGTTACAGAAGTTCTGAAGCTCTAATGTAATGCAGTGGCACATATTAGTGACATGAACTAGCTTGCTTGTTATCTCTTCTAACAAGATTTCCATCTTGTATTCACTTATGCCATAATAGTTCGGTAAGTCTGGGAATCCCAAATTGTTCCCCTGGCCAGTGATTTTTCCTGAGAAGGGAATGTGGTGTGTATTCAGCTAGTGTGATGCTCTGCTCCCCTCTAGCGTTCACATGCCTCTGGCTGCATTTTCTAGCAGAGCTAAATTATTTTCTTCAGGCAATAAAAGATGATAATTCATGGTCCAGGGGTTCAGTCGCCTTTAATGAAAACCCCGATGATGTGATGTGAACCATGGGATGCAGTTTAGAAAATGCTCAGAACAAGCAGAACCAACCTCTTCCATTCTGTTGAATCAGTTGTATTTTATACCAGCAGTGACTTACAATCCTTCACCCTTATTTCACTATAACCTCTGTGTTATAGTCACTGTATTGCACTGTAACCTGCTGAGTGAAACTAAACAAAAATGATTCAAAGGAAAAAGTGAAGTATCATACTTTGAAACTTCATTCTGCTTTTTTCTCTTATCAGAGAGTTATGACAGCCAGATTTAATTTTAATCCATTGTTGGTATTCTAAAATTATGGCAAATAATGCTAAAGTGCAGTGTAGTTGTAGAAGTGATACAAAATCCCAATTTTTGCAGGAGAAGTGTGGGGAGTAGGGTAAAAAAAGTGTAATCAACCATGGAGTACTCTGTAGGCAGCGACAAACCAAAGCTCTTGGGATGTCAGTAAGTCACTTGGTGGCCTTGAACTCCCTATCTGACATCATTTTGACATGTATGTCCTCTACCTTAAGGTTTGGCCTTGGATGTCACTTGATGTGTTCCTTTAAGTTTTGGGGGTTTTTTTGTTTGGTTTGGCTTTTTGTTTTGAACTAGAGGGTCTTGGGGTTTTTCAGGACCTGGGACTGACAGAACTGTATTTGCAGTTTGAAGGGTTGGAAGTTGTCACCCTGGTCCAGTTTTCTAAACTCCTGCCCTGTATTAACTTACAGGTATTTGCTGCCATCTAATGTTCATGTGATGGCATTGAAATTACCAAAAGAGCTTGGTTGGCTAAATCTGTCAATGGAGATTGATTGCTCTGGGCTGTGTAACTAATAACTGTTCCATGTCTTATGCACTTGCCTTCTTGTCACCTGACTGACTGTAATTCATTAACATCTATCAACTCCTTCATTAGTTATGGTGCCACAGGTGACCTGATGCATGATTTTTGATGGAAAAATTACTCAGCCTGAAAACATTTGTTAGTGTTTTGTCATTTCACTAGTACCTCTTTTTAAAGTACCTTCTGGGTAGATCACACATACCTTTATCCTAAGTATATCTTGTGAAAATTGCTTTTTTTTGTCACTGACACTGAGCAGCATGCAGCTCAATTTCTGTATTGTAAATAGAAATTTGCAACAGTGAATGTATGGATTGTGGCTGAAAGAAGTAATTGGAGGGTAGAAAATTGGGAAAAATGACAAGGAATGGATTGCATATGGAAAAATGTATGACTTCAGTTTTATTGGACATCTGGCCTTTATGGGGTCCAAACACTTCTCAGAGGCAGGGTGAGCAGAACATCTGAAGCAGAGTGGATTTGAGGCTCAGTCTGTGCAGAACTGCACGCCCATGTTTGCTAACGTGCTAATCAGGTATCACACCAGTCATGCACACGCATTTGACTCCCTGCTGAAACGTTTCCTTTTTGAAAGGAAATTGGGTGACAGCAAGCAAAGGCTGTAATAATTTATTTTCAGTGTCTTCCTGCTATTCATTACTGTGGTGCAGACAGGTCATGATGCACTGGCAGCATCACCTTCATGTCCCTCCTGACCCCATAAGTGTGGGGGCTTTACCACACTTAGCAGCACATTGGTGAGAGAGACTTTTAGAACTCAGGCTTCAGTGCAGCACAGTGAACTCAGTGAAGGTCAAGGCCATATTCCCCCTTGGGGTTTAAGGCTTCTTTCTCTCTTCCTCTCCCCTCTGTACTGAGTGAATGTAAGTTTCCCTACTTCCCTTTTTTTAGCGTATCTTCTTCCCAAGTGCATATATGTATACATACATACAGATATGTGCCAGACAAAATAAATGTTTATGCACAGTGGCTTATCTTTCTTGGCTGCACTAAGAGACTCTCATGCAAAATAGATGCAGTGTGGATGTAACAGGCCAGCACAGAAGATCCCTAACTCAAGACAGTTCTTACATGAAGTATGTCTGCAGTTGGCACTTTTATTTTTCTGGATGAATCTCACCTTCTGTCACCTGTGGTTGCTGCCCAAAATTACAGGATGCGTCTGGGCAGCCTACAGCATTCCAGAAACAGCTGGATGGGCTGAACAGTGACCTGCAGGTCACTGTTTTCTCTTGTCCTTAGGAATTGAGATCCTTGCTTCCCTGTCAAAAAAGTCTGAATGCTTTTGTAGTTTGTGTTGGTTCACTGTCGTGTCAGATGAGTGTGAGCACTGGGAAAAGGGAGGTGCCATGAATGGTCGAGGTGGGAGGCAGAAGACCAGAACCACAGTAGTGCAGATTTAGAGCATGGAACCAACCCCTTCATCAAAAAGCTCCTCAGACTGCTTCCTTCTACAACTGAGCTGGTTTTCTGAAGCATATGAGTATGATCTGATAATTATACTTTGTGGCACTGGGGTACAGACTGCAGGGAGAAGGCTGAGGAAGATGGCAGCTGAGGAAGTCTCGTGTCTCAAACTGCCACCACTATTGCACCAGTGCATTGACCTGACCTTCTAAGATCCAGTATTAGTGGTGTTCAGGACAGCTTAGTTTTTTAACTGTATGCTCTTAAGAAAATAGAAAAAAAATATCGAATTTGCACTGCATCAGCTTTAGAGACTCTCAGTTCCTGACTGTCTTGGTTCTTAAGCTGGTTTGGTCAGGTTTTCAGATGGATTTGGCAAAGTTAGGTGTGCACCTTATTTAAGAACTTCAAATCATATTGAGATTTAATCGAAGTGGAATTGTTATTTCCTTAGAGCAGCGAGCAAATGATGTTAGTCCACAACAGATTGAAATAAGGGTTAATTTATAGCAGCTCCCTCTCAGTGGAGCTCAGAGATAGTCTGTCTTGTGTTTTGAGATCGCCAGCGTTATTTAGTTGCCTTAGGGACTTCAGCAAGTGGAAGAGGATGTTGGTGTTGAGGTTTTTTAGGATTTTGTTCCCGAACAGCAGCACCTGGAGTTCCGGGATAGCCCGGAGTGGTTGCGCTGTGGGGTCGCGGCCGCCAGGGGGAGCTGCGCGAGCCGGGGAATTCCCGGGAATTCCAGCGGGTTTGTCCACGAGGTGCGGGCAGGGAAGGGATTCGGTGGGGTCGTGGTTTTTGGGGGGAGAAATCCTTTTTCTTGAGCTAAGTCTGACAGTAATGGCCTTGCAGATTCTGGACAGTCCTGTGGTCCGGCCCTATGTGTTTTAAGAGCTGATTTGCTGTGCACAAGTGGACAGACACAGACATCCTAAATAATTGAGTTGTTTGCTGGGAGTAGAGTCAGAATTTTCTTCTTTTAAGGCAAGTGCTATATCTTTATAAGCAACGAAGATCCAGTCTCTCTGACTCAAGTCCTAACGCCCTTTTCTTTGATGATCTGAGAGTCTTCAAAAGTGGCATCAAAAGAGAGAACTTCTTTGGCATTGTCAGAAAATCAGGAGAAGTCGATTTATTTTTTTTCCTCCCTTTTTCCCCTCTCCTGGAGAATGAATGCCTCAGTCACGCTTCAGAAGCTGGGCAGAAGCAGCTCTGTGGGGGCAGTGCAGCGTGTCTGACCTGAGGGGAAGCTGATGTAGAACACAGATACCAAGTACAGACGAAAGGATCATTTTTCCTGGTGGCTGTAAACTAGGAAAGTGCAATTAAAGCAGTGGGGGATCGAAATTTGTGCTCTCCATTGGCTGTTAGGACTTGCTCTCTAGAGTGGGGGATTACCATATTTAAAGATTTTTTTTTTTTTTTTTTTTTTTTTTTTTTTTTTAGCTGTTGCACCCTTTGTTCAGCCACTTTTCTCCTTTGTGACACTCTACCTGTATTTGGCTAGATCTATCCTTAGCTTTTTAAAGGAGTTGTAAAGCAGGCTTTGTTATATACCTTAGTAGTAATCCAGGAAAAGTATTACTTTATACTTGGATATATTTAGGTAGTAATACATCTATTTCATCTCCATCCTTGATAATGTAACAGCTCTTTCACTGAACCTCTTAACTGCTTGGAGATCTGTCGACTCTTATGTATTATTCCCCTACTCTCCTGCTGGCAGTTCCATGTTCCCATTCCAGCTTTTGTCTACCTGCTGCATCCCACGTATTAGACATAAATGTCTGGTTTGCTGTCCAGCTGTGCTTGTCCTGTGGTGCTTTGAGCAGCAGAGTGGCTGTGTGCTGTCACTCTGGCTGCAGGCTCAGTTTCTTTTGTAGTTTGATCATTCCATGACAATCCTGTTTGATGATTTAAGAGACCTGGAGAGGAAGAGGAGGGGACATGTCTGTTCTGTGACCCTCTGAGCTTTATATACTGGGCAGTTACAGTTTGTTTGAAAAATGAAATCCCTCTCTAGGAGAGGGAGAAATTTAGAGGGGCAGGTACCAGTATCTAGAAGAGCTGCTACTGTCTGAAGGAAGAGGAAGAAATCCTGCTGCTTCTTTATGGAGAATAAAAAGTGGTTCCTGAGTGGAGCAGGTAATATAAGATCCCTGTGTGAGCTGGTTGTGATGAGAGCAGCTGGCACTGAGGGGAAACAGGAGCCTCCTGGCATAAGGTAGTATTTTGAAGTCTACACATGGAGTCTGAACAGCTGTAGGGGAAACAGTGGATTTCAGGATCATCCTCTTGAGAACATTTTTTCCTGTTTTCCTCTGGATAGGAAGTTTGGTCTCTAGGCCAGCTCAATAGGCCAAACAATTAGAATTAACCCTTTGATCAAGGGAAATAAAATGAAAATAAATTTACCCTCACGTTTTTGTAGGCTTGAAAATGAGAGAACTGTAATAGTTGCTGTGAGTTTTGGTTTAAGCAGGTGGTCTTGTAATTGTGAGACTGAAGGAGAGTGTGCAGTGCTGGAAAACTCATAAAGCTCTATCAAATGTAATGGGAATGGAAACCAAGACATTAAAGAGATTATTTAAAACCTTACTAAATTAAAAAATTGTACCATATCTAGGTTCTAATTCAAACAGAGGAGTAATTTTCTCCTCCATTATGCTTTCAGAGAATTACAAAGGAAGTATCACTTTCTATTAAATTGCGCTCAAATTTTTACGAGCCTATGTATTGAGAATTTAGATAAAAATAGTGGTTCATAAGAACACTTGAACTAGCACAAGACATTGTGGGGGGAGCAGTATGAAAGAAACAGAGTCTTTGTTGCTTTTTAGATTTTTAAAGCCATGCTTCCATTTCCTAGATGGCAAAGTGAACAACTTGGCTTGTTCAAGGTCAACAAAATTTTGTTGCAGAAGCAGACAAAGAATGCCTGACTCTTTGATCTATGTGGAATCCTTCCTATCAATGCTACTGAAATATTGAAGTTTAATTTAAACTGACATATCCCCTGCCATGCTATTTCAACACAGGAGCAAATATACAGCCTACCAAGATGCCCCTGATTTGGAATGGTCTCAACTGTCTGGGCCATGACTGGTTTTGAGAATGAGATTAGTGCCAGACTGGTAGTTGGATTAAATTTTTTAAATGCTTAATGTATAAGAATTGCCCATGATCCTTAGTAAATAGAGAGTGAAACTCTCTGCTATTACCTGTTAAAATTGATTTCCTACTCAAGCAGCAGAAGCTTTTGCCAAAGCCAACACAGGCCCTTGAAACAACCCCTCAGCTGGGTCTCAGTTTTCCTGTTTGTGTGTCTCTGTTAACAGACTGTGTACTGTGGAAAGGAGACCATGCTGCTCCATTAAACAGCCATCTGCTGAATAGCAGGACTGTAGGGTAGTAAAATCTATAGTGGTTATTTATCTAATGAGAAAGGTACAGAAAATATCCCAGGTATGAATTTAAAATTAGTTTCCCAAAGCACACTTGGGAATGCAGAGCACTATGAAATGTTTTCCTGTGGAGGTCAGTGTTTCCATTTTGTCCCTTGATGGCCAAATAATTCTGCTGCTGAAAATCACACATTATTTTCAGGATTCCAAAGTCTAACAAGGGAGGATTTTTCTATTACAAAGCAAGCCTAAAAATCTGTAGGGAGCAAGAGTTGCTGATGTATGTTTTGAAGTTTTGCAACAGAGAGAGAATGTAGCGGAGTGAAATTCTTGGGTAAGGGAACCTGAACAGCTCTCCTGAGGGACCTCTGAAACATGATTCTCTGACTAGATTGAAGCTGGACATGAGAAGTCTGGGTTCAAAGCCAAATTATGCCATGGATCCTGTTGTCATCTTGAGCAATTTCCTTGGTCTTTTAATGACTGCTGTCTCCCTCCATTCTCATTTCATAGCTGGGTCCACTTGTCTGTTTTGGTGTTCGTACCCTACCTGCACTGTAAATCACTTGGATATGGAGGTCTCTCTATTTTAGATTTCCAACCACCAGGCTTTGTCAAATATTTTTGAAGTAGCACAGGCAACTGCCAACAGATAAGTTCACGTGAAACCTAATTTGGTTTAGCACTGCTCGGCCTGTTCCCAAGGAGCTGCTTTGATACCTTATTTAAATTTTATGTTGTGTTATGTATCTAGGTTAAACATGCACCTAGGACTTCAAAGACAATATAAATAAATTTTGCAAGTCAAACAATGTTTTCTTTACAGCTGAGGAAGGAGCACAAAGAGTTTCTGTAAAGCTTGACCAGGTCACCTAAAGTTGGTGCAGCCAAAAATAGAGCCATGATCTCCTGCATTCTGACAGCAAAGCTGGTTCCTCCTTCTCTTGCTCTCTCTAGTGAAAAACCATATTCAAGGTGGTGTCACATAGCTGATGTTTTCAGGCCATGGAGGTTAATGAATATTGTTGCTATTTAAGTAAAGACTCCTGTACCATTTTCTGAATAGGATGCCAGCTCTAAGCTCACACTTGCATTCCAAGAATTACTGTTGGGAATTTTTTCCTTCTACCTGTAGAGCTTAAAGCTATTCATGGAGAGTTTGCTTTTACCTTTAGATTTTACAGTTCAGACACTTCTGAACTTCACCTTCCTGCTGGGTAAGCAATCTTACAAGCTACCCTTTGCTTTCCAAGTACCTTCTGTGCTCCTGTTTATCATGGATGCACCAAGTCCCAGTTTCCTCAGTGAAACACGGTGTGCAGCCGTACCTTGGCTAATTACAGTAATACAGACTCTCATTAGAGCCAGGGAGTGACGTGTGGGGTGCAGATGTGCTGCTGTCATTCAGACATGCAATCAGTGTCTTGCTCTGGGGATTGGCAGCAGAGCACTTGTGTTCTTGTGCAGCTTCAGACAACAGCGTGTGGGTAACTTTGATTTTGTGCCATTCACAAAACGCTATTTAACCGAACTTGTTTCAGGCAGCTACTGCAAAATCAATCTGAACTGGCATGATGGGTACAAACTATGGAGGAAAACTATGCAGAAAAGAATTTTAAAAGGGCAACAGATTGAGGAGGCATTCCTCTAGAGACTTTAAACATGAAAAGGGATGCACCATTATACTGGGATGTGGTAACAGCAGTTACTTGTATTTATCTACGTACATAGGCATATTCACAGCAGCTGTGGTCTGGTGGGTTCTGTGGTCACTGAACTCTGCATGTGGAGTTATTTGAGTTCTCAGTAGCCTTGTACAGTGTATGCTGAAGTCTGTAATTACTTCCTGGTAATTAATGAATGTGCCAGCAAAGGCTGGTATCAATATTGCACTCTGTGCTGTAAGCTGTCCTTTGAGTACTGGATACACATCCCAATGTTTAATAATATCTAATGGATCAGAGAGCAGATAAAGGCAGATAAAAATTGCCAGTGTATTTTTATAATCCTCTGGAACTCTTACAGCAGCTGAGCAGTATGACATTGTGCATCTTTCTTTTGTGTTCTGAGGCTGAAGTTATTAAACTCATAAGGAAAATATTATTTTTTCCACATGTCTTACACTAAAACTTTCATGGCTGCTAGTAAGAGTCTTAAGAACTCTCTAAACTGGTTTTGTTCTCACTGTATGAAATTTGAATATTTAATTCCCAAAATAGTCATGTATCTATGGGTAGTTTTATTAGATCTGATTTCCTTGGTACATTCTAGATCAGGGAACACTGTGTTTTGTCAGTAAATAGACGAAACCTGCTTTCAGGAGGAGAGAGAAAGGTGGAAATAACATGGTATCTGCTATTTCCTTTGAAGGGAAAAAGTATTTTACAGTATCTGTGGTATCTACTGATTATAGTGTAGGTATACTACCACTGCTTGTAGTGTATACCTGAAAATATCTCCACAGCAGTTTTCATTTAAAAGCACAGCCTCTCATTGATGGATTGACTACTTTATACAGCTTTTCTCTTCCTTGGCATTATTGGTGCAAGTTCCTTTTTGATAGTTGTTAAACAACCATAAAATTAGGAAATGGCAATGCTATGCTCTAATACAGTGCTGTGAGGACCTGCTGCTGCCTAAGTCAGTTCTGTGCACGCTGAAGGCATAGTCCCTGCAAGAAGCAGCTGTTTAAGTATAAATAACCTGATTTTTGAAGACTCATTGTACACTGTGTCTTAAAATCATATAGTACTTCTGTGGTAGAAGGAAGATTGAGGTAAAAATTAATGGTGTTGGTGAAAAATAGGTAAATGTAATGAGATAACATATTGCATATTTTTACTGCTGGACCAGAAGGAGGGAAGAAGCTGTTCAGGATGCTCCAGGTAAGAATTAAAACTCTCAAATATTAATTACTGTGATGGTATTGAGTAGGTTATCAGCTCAAGCCAGATGCCCTGACATGCACAGAGCAGGAGAGAGAGGGTTATTGTTGAGTGTTTGATGGACACAGCAATGCAGCTGAATACTAATGTGTTCCTTTCTTTTCAAGGTATCTACACTCCAGAGCCACTCTGCAATTTCTGGTGGGCTCTTTTATCCACGGGGTTTATGTTTGTGTATCACTTTAGCATCTTGCAGATTCTGGGACTGGTAAGTAAGGTTAATAAATGGGTAGTTTGCAAGTACATCCAAAGTAACACCACTGACTACTTTGTTTCACAGTGTCCAGATCCACATGGATAAGAACTTGCAATGCAAATTTTTGATAAGGCTGCTTGTATGCAAATTGCATGTTCTAACAAGCACTTGTATATTGTGTCTTGCAAGTATTGGTAAAATATTTTAGTTTGGTTATGTACCTGCATAAATCCATCTATTAAATGCACAACAAAATTTGGATCTGCTTTATTTCTGGAAGCTGCCCTATTTGTGTCGAGCAAAAGCATCACCTAAACACTTTTCTGTTATTATGGTAATTTCAAAATTACCAGTTTAGGTGTCTGAATCGGTGCAAAGCAAAAATATTGTTTAATTTATAAATTTGTTGTCACTTTCTCAGGTTACAGAAGTGAATTTGAACAACATGTTGTGCCCAGCTGTCTCAGATCCTTTTTATGGGCCCTGGTATCGAGTCTGGGCGTGTGGACATCAGACTGTCATGACCATGACCCATGGGAAGCTTGTAATCCTACTGTTTTACAGTGCTGTCCCCATCTTTAAATGTAGCATGGACTTGCTCAGACTCCCAGCTAAGAAAATAGACTGAAATTTCTCCCCGTGGAGTCGTGCAGGAAGCAGAGACACCTATACTGGAAAACAAGGAGGAGGGATGAGAGGACAACGGCTTTATACTTCTCCCCACAGTTTATTGCCTCAGAAACACCTTTGTAATCAAGTGAGGGGTTTTTTTTACCTGCTGTTTCTCACTGCCTATTGCCAATGGCAAAATTAGTGGCCTTATTCTGGGAAAGGTTTGTGTTTTATACATTTTGTATAGATTACAGTAGAATCTTGCTAAGCCACCACTAAAGTTAGGCCAGGACCTGTCCACATTCCAGCAAAGAGAGTGGCAGTGCTACCTTGTTTTGACTTATTTTCCATTAAATATAAGTACAGTTCTATCATGGGATAGGAAATAATGCTGCATTGCAACACTCCAGTGATGTGAACGAACACATGCTGAACCACATCATCTTGGCTTAACTCTTAGAACCTGAATGTTCCCAAACAGCCACAGGAAACAATGTTAATCTCCCAGTTGTAAGTGCAAAGAAGTGAGGTTCTACTGTACTTTCTTTAAGCTGGTTGAAAATGTTGGGGAACAATAACTCATTCAAACAATACTTTTTTTGGTTTGTTTTTTAAATCAACTACTTAATTCTTAAGCTGCTGTGGATAAATATCCATCTAGTGAAGTCCCATCATATCTTGATGCTTTGGAGATACTTTTATTTGGCTGAATGGAAAAAAAATCATGTTGAAATAATTTCAAAAGACCATGTTATGTATAAGCCATGATAAGATAATGCATCCACTCTTCTGTCCAGACTTTGAACAAAATGTTTTTTCACTTAGCTTAGACTGGAGAAGGAGTGGAGATACAAAGTCCATTGTAAAGATCAGAGTTCTCTTTTTTTTTTTACTTAGTAGCTTTTGAAACATTCCTGCTCCGTCTACACTGCTCCTGGCTGAGTAGACTGGTTAAAAAAGGAACAAACTGAAACTGTTCTCTCCCTACAGCTCTTTTACATTCTGTGTACTGATTTTAAAATACAGGTACAAACAGGAATGTCTAATCAGTACAGGCCTCTACTGAAAAGAACATGTTCCAGTTTACTGGTAAGAATAAATCTTCTTTTGGAGAACAGGATGTAGATGGGCAGAATGATAAACGGTGAACTGTGTACCTGTTCAAATTTTGCAAGGCTAGAGGAGAAACTGTTGGGCAGAAAGATGGGAAATCCTGAGTGTGTTCTTCCAGAACTGTGAGTCTGTGTCACAGGCTGTTGGGTTTTGAGGCTGCAGGTTTTTGTTGCACAGAAGTTTGTTGCAATTTATAGATTCATTGTGTTATCAAAGCTGTGACTTGTAAGATAAACCAAAACCACCATACCTCCTTCAGCTGGATCACCTGAAGGGATGTTCTGAAGTTAGGGTACAGTCATTTATACCTCAGGAGGGAAAACTAAGGACAAGAAGTGGTTGATTTTGGGCTTTTTGTCTGTTTTCCTTAAAAAAGGAAAATTTTCATTGGCGAAGGAAGAAGCGGCTACTTCAAATATTTTTATTCTGTATGATTAAAAAAACCACACCTCAATCAGAAAAATATTGTCCCACATTGATTTACAGACTAGTTTTTGGGTTTCTTCCATGCCTTGCTCTGTGTGTTTGTATGTGTACATATATATACATATACATATACATATATATATATATACACACACATACATAAAAGAGAATAGATACATGTATGCTTACAATTTGAGAACATGCAGCATGTACCTGAACTATCCCTCAGGCATATACAGCTGGTGTGAGTTACACAGACTATGTGGCTCCTGGTGTTTTTAATTAGAATTCAACTCAGAAGATAAGCACCTGATTTAACACAGAGTTCACTGTCACTCAGTGTTGGTACATGATGAATTCCACTGTGGACTCTCCCTGCTGCATCAGGAGAGCTGGGAATATCTTCTGAAGCGTTTGTGGAGCGGGGCCTAAAGAAAGAATGTGTTGGCATTGAAGGCCTGAATCCATCTGTGGAAGATCACTGGATGAGCTGCTGAAGGGATGGAAGTTCTTGCTGGTTGTTTCAGCAGATTCAGTCCTTTGTGATGAAACACAGGATGTTGCTGGGAGATGCCAACACTGGATGTTAAAGCCTGTCCCTTATTAATATATTTCATCCCCTGTGCAGTGCTGAGCAAAATACTAATTCTTCCCAACCTGTATCATGGTTTATTTATTTACTTAAAAATTCGGCAAAATGCCTTATGTTGGATTCAATTCTGTTTAGAAGGCATATTTGGTATTACAATAGAATGATTTTAGCCACATTTTCCCAAATACTATTTAGCATTATTATTTGCTTAACTTAAAGTTTTTTGTTTTTTAAAAAAATCTTTCCTGTTTTTTAAAGAATCTTTCCTTTTTTCCCCCCTCAGAATATTGTAGTTACTAGAAACATTTCTATAGGTAGCAGTCTTTTTTTTTTCTTTTTTAAACTATTTATAGTCATATGCTTCAGGGCATTCCAAACAAGTATAAAGCAGCTGCTGTTTGCCACCACTGACTGCCTCTGGTCAATTAAAACTGCAGGAGCATTTAAATGAGCTCAGGTGTCTCACCAGTGTAGGCTCTTTGCTTGGAATGCAAAATTTGTGAGCTCTTCTGGCTGACTTAAAATTCAGTAGCAGGAATGGCAGAGCTGACATGAGGGAAATCCCTGGGCAGTTTGGCTGAAGGGATTCCTGGTGCGGTTGTACCTCTTGCACCACTGGCTGTGACAGCAGAGCCACTGAGTGGTCACTGCTGCCCTCCTTCCCACCCTGGATCAGAGCTGGCTGGTGGTCACTGGGCTGACTTGTGCTTTTCCCTGTTATGCTGGTCCAAAAAAACCTTTAAGATCATCAAACCAACCATTAACCCATGTCCCCAAATGCCACATCTTCCCATCTTTCAAATATCTCCAGAGATGGTGACTCCACCACTTCCCTGGGCAGCCTGTTTAATGCTTGGCAACCCTTTTGGTGAAGAAATTTTTCCTAATATCCAATCTAAACCTCCCTGGGTGCAACTCAAGGTTGTTTCCTCTTGTCATGTTGCTTATTTCCCGGGAGGAGAGACTGACTCCCACCTGGCTAGTGACAAAGTCCACCCTGAGCCTCCTCTTCTCCAGGCTGAGCCCACTCAGCTCCCACTCATCAGACTTGTGCTCCAGACCCTTCAGCAGCTCTGTTGCTTTGTTTTGGATGTGCTCCAGAGCCCCAATGTCTTTCCTGTAGTGACAGGCCCAAAAGTCACAATTATTCCCTCCTTCCCTGTGCCCCTTTTTGAAAGCTTTTAAAACTTAATATTTCATGTTTGGTGATGGTGAGCCACCACAAGGAACTACATCCACAGTTCCTTGAGAGAGAAGGGAGAGTAAGGCTGAGATCGAGAGTGAGGCTCCACTGAAGGGAGGGCAGGTCAGAATGGGAGCAGAAAGGCAACAAACTTTTGAAGAAACCATCATTGAACTTCACCTCCTTTACCCTTTATTCCTCATCTGTCTCTGGTATCTGTTGGGAATGTGCATCAGCCAGAGCTTGTTCCATGTGCATGCAGGATATAGGAAAGAATGGGAAAGCTTCATCTCTGTAACAGGTATTTGTTGTTTTCCCTCACAGAGGCTGATTTTTCCTTTCCCCTAAAGGTTTCTTTTATAGGCACTTACACTATACAGATGATTTCTTTGGTTGCTTTTATGCTTATTTATGCTGGAAATGAAAGAACAAAACCCTCCTGCTGCTCCTGGGAGGTAACTGCTTTCTCTGCTGGGGTATTACGCACACAATCTATGTCAAGATAACTTGAAGCTGTTGCTCGGTACCTGGTGCTGAGATTTTACAGAGCTGCAGTGCCACGTGCTAGTGAAAGGGTTGTCCTGGTCCTCCTGGCCAGGTGTGCCCCAGTCCTTTGTGGTGGCACTCACAGTTATGGCAACACTGGCAATAGGTGGGGGCAGGAGTTGTGCTGGACAGCCACACCCGCTATTCCCCATGGCTGAAGCTGAGTGTAAAATCTCACCCCAAAGTGGGCTCATTTACTGTCCAAGAGCAAGTTGGGCACAATCCCAGAAAAAAACCCCTTGTGCAGTGTCGCTGCCTGGCCTTCACAGAGACACTGGTATGTATTAAGGGGTCTGAACAGAGCCCTCTAATTTTTAGTACTGTAGGCACTTCAAAAGAAACAAGGAGCAAGGAAACTGCTCCTGCTGCCACCAAGTGGCTACATTTCCCTCCAAGTGTACCCATAAATGGTGCATTATTAACTTTAATAAACTTGTTTATTGATGGGTTTGTTTATCCAACCCTCCAAAGCACAGAAGGGAACCAGTATCATTTCTGCACCCACTACCTTGTGCCACAGCTTTAGCTGTCCAGGACCCCTGCAGTGCTATTTTTCCAAGGACTCAGACACTGTTCAGTGTCTGAGCTTTATCTATTCATTTATTCATTTAGCTTCTTGCTATTTAAGCACCAAAGGAGAATTTGCGTCTTGTTTCTTTTGAAGGGTGAAAATGAACCGTGCGTGTATAAACTGATGAAAAGCCAGTCTATGAACACGCACCTGGAGCTGGTTTTGGTTCAGCTTCTTACAGTTCAAAAATGCTGCTTATAAGCAAAGCCTACGTGTGCTTGAGCAGCTGCTGCCTTGCCGAACTTGGGAGACAGGAAAAGTCAGTCCATTTGCAAATCTTGAGGTGAGAGAGTACCTAATTGTAATTTCTCTTCCTGGCCACAATCAGGGTTTTGATATTTGTGTATATTTGATATAATTTTGTAAAGCCCAATTGTATTTTCCTTTCAGAAATGGTATTTGCAACTGTTAAATGACTGTACTTTTGTGTCCTAAGTCATGCATCTAAACCAGAAGCACTTGTTTTTCTATGCATCCATAGCTAATGGAAAATAGAGTTGTGCTGTTTTCTTGTGTTGCAATTGTTTCACTCGAGGTGGATTCTTAGGAATGAAATTAGTTCTAATTGTTAACAAAGCTCTGAAAAGGCCAAAAGCCAGGAAGGGGGCCCATGTCAGCCCAGGTAGGAGGTGCAAGGTTTCTGCAGGCAGACAGGTCAGCTTTGATGTTTTCAGTTTTATGGCGACAAGACTCATAAGGAATCTGTTGATTTTGTGATCTCGTACTCTAAGTGATATTGCTGTAAATCTGTCTTGCAGCTGTTGGTGTAACTTAGTCAAAACCAAGCTGTTTCATAAATAATTTTATTTTTCTTCAGGGTCAATTTTGTACTTTTTTTAAATTATTTCTGCATTTACTGAGTCATTATCCCAATGCTGCAGAGAACGCAGCAGGCAGACCAGTGAGCACTCCCTGCTCTCCCCATCCATGCTGTGCCAGGGGGCTGGAGCTGGGCTGGACCACAAAGGGGTCTTTGGAAACTTGCAGATCTGGTTACCCCACCCTCCAGTTCCAGCACAGCGTTATCCAGGCACAGAATGGTTTGGCAAGGGCAAGGGTGGACGTGGATGGGCTCAACTGCCACAAATGCTGTTAGTTCTGAATAATTTGTAAGAGTGTTATGAATTTTGTAAACTTTTTAATGTGCTAAACCTTGGTTATGAGGTAACTTTACAAATACGGGGTAATTTGTGTACTTGTTTTTGTATTTTGGTCTGATGATGGGATTTTTTTTGTTGTTGTGCCCTAAGTACAGATCATTGGGCAAATAGTTGTTAAACCTTTGAATTAAAACAAATAAATGCATTTTAATGGATACTGGACAGTTTTGTTATCATTCTAATTGTGCCAGGCCTGGAGTTTGTCTTGCTTAAGACTTTTTATAATTAGGTAAGAAAACCAAAATTGCCTTTCCACTTCAGTTTGTAACATTAACAGTCAAGAGTCACAGAGGCACTAAATATTAGCTAATTATAAGTCAGGACAAAATACAGAGGTTTCTGTCTGAAACAGTCTGTACTGCCTGATGTCATCCATTTGCACACAGCAGTTCCTGGGAGAACAATGGTTACTGGGCTTTCTGAAAGTTTTAAGCAGTTCAGTATGACCTGTACCTGCTACCTGCCAGTCAACACCAGCCCGAGTTTGCTGGCAGAGCTCACTGTGGGACATAAATCCTTTAATCACTGTTTAAATATTTCCTGTCCTTGTCTTTCAGGTAAAGAGCTCAGGAAAGAGTGTTACAGTACCATGAAGCTTCCTCCACTGTTCCTACCCCAGCTTTGGCAGTGTCTTATAGTTCCCATTTCATGGCACTTTAGTAGAAGGTGGGAGAACATTTACAGAAGTTTTCAGCTCAAAACTTTGTTCAGAAAGCTGCTGCAGTAGCTGCAGTACTGTACTTGGACAGGCCCACACCAGAGGTGATGGCAAAGCAGTTTTAATGCACTTCAGAAACGCTTCTGGCTGTAACTGATATTATTGCAATCTAGATAAATGTATTCTTGTCACCCAGTATAGCTCAGACAAGCAGGTTATTTCCTTGTGTGAGGTTCCTGGCAAATACTGTTCCTGGAAAAAGAACACACTGGATATGCCCACCTGTATAATTATATATGCATCTTAGAGGTTTTAATTTTTCAGGCAGCTGGGGAACAGAATCAATTATCCAGCTTAATTTCTCTGGAACAGTATAAACCCTGATATAACAGCTTTAAGTAGAAATCCAGTGTGGTGCTGTACAGCAGCCTGAGATGAACCAAGAAAGCAATTTCCCTTTTCAGGCACTGCTAATTATTCTCAACAGCTCTCTATAACTAACTGGAAATCAGCCTTTCATTGTTTAGTACCACCAAATACATAAGAATAAGCAAGTTTCCATCTCTGAACCAGCCTCAATATTACTCTGTTAGTTTGATTTTTTTAATAGCATGATAAGGGCAGAGTTGGCTAAAGTGGTGAGAAGAGTGGGAAACTCTGGGTAGGAAGTGATAACTAGCTCTACATTTCAATGGCCTGAGGGTTTTAGGAAAGTTTTATGCAGTTCAGACTAGTGATACCAAAGCTGTGACATATAAAACCAGCAATGGAAGCTATTTACTCGGGCAGGTCTGGAGCAAGTGGAGCAATGGCTGCATCAGTCTTCAACATCCAAAGGTTACATGGATCCCACTGGTTTGTTTTCAAAGACTTTGCATCTACAGCCAGCAGAGCTATGAATATTGCATTAGGCACAGGCAAACAAACCCCTTCTAAAATCAGACCTGAGTTCCAGGGAGATGGAATGCTTTGTCTCAGGAATTATCCTAGAGAGGACTCAGCAGAAAGTGTCTCTCAGTGCACCAAGAATTTGGCTCAGGGAACAAAGTTCTCCAACGGGGTTTTGCCTCTCTGGGTACTTTCCTTTGCCATCAGCTGGACTGGGGCTTTGACAGAGATTCTTTGATACACATTTTGCAACAATATTGTGCTGACTAATCTGTCTGTAAGTGGTGTAGGCCATGTACTGGTTACACCAGTACAACTGGTTCTGTGAGCAAGTTTTGCTTAAAAAGACTGAAACCACTTCCTTGTCTCACAGGAAGTAGCTCAGGTCTGGACAGAATTCCATGTGTAAACTTCAACATAAAAAGTATAAAACTGAACTGGTAATTGATATAAATACCAATAAATATGCTGGTATAAATAATAACTGATGTAACTAATATAAATGATTTAACTTGGAGTGTTGAGTGACTCCCTTCTGAATTAGTCTGAAAGCTGCAGGTACCCCAGTCTGCTCCTACAGCAGACAAAAGGGAAAGACAGTTAATGCCAGGAAACTATTTCTAACACACCATTAGCCTTTAACATTAACACCAGGTACAAATGCTTAAATAAAAACATTGACCAAGCCACACAATTAAGCAGAGAGACATAAAAAGAAATGGTGATTCTTTTTCCTTATTTTATTGGGTAAATGAT